TGCATTTTCAGCGAGGTGATTTGCACAACTTTTAGTATCTAAATACTTCTAATAAAGCAGCATTATGTTAGTAAAAATGTCCGGAGAATTGTAACGGCGAAAGGGGTATGTAAAAACTAACCACTTTGGTAAGGCGTACGAGCACGTTGAACTGTGAGATATTGGATATCTATCTTGATATTTTGTTTCCTGGTCTCTTTACTTGCACGGCGACTGACCTTTGTCTATGAAGCTGATATCTGGTGCCTGGATCTTTGACTTTTAGCGATGACTAAAGGAAGATCCTACGATCCCGGGAAGTACCATAGATGAAAGTACCATGTAATATATTTTTCCGCGTCCTCATGTCCTCTGACCCCAAAACAGTCGGTTAGGAAAGTTTCCAAATTGTAAATGCCCGTAAGATTAATTGATCTTGAAGGAAGAAATTCTTATTGCATCTTGGAAGATCCAGGTAGAAGCACTGATAACGAATAAGAGCACGACGTAAGGGTTGCATTCACGGATTACGTATGGCTTTTTGTAATCCTGATAGAAAGGGTGAATATTTGTCGTCGGCCTCGAAATAGTCGACTATTAAAGTATTGGTAAGCGAAAATAGACGTCTTTAACGTTATTCTGCTTCTTGGAACAGTACCTAACTTTGAACAAGGAACGACACTTGGAATGAACAAGGCTGAATGATCAACGTTTAGCAGCCACCATCCTGTTTCTCCGCTGAAAACATTACTACTACCAGGCAGGTCAATGGAATTAGGACGACCTCGTATGTTAATTTCGGAAATTCGCTTTGGTTTCTATAGGTCTTTTAGAAGTTTCTTGTTGATATATCGCATGCAAAGAGCAGTGAAGTTAGGATCTAATTTTTACCTTCTTCGACCAGTTTCAGGATATCCTCCTTTAGTATCTGACCATTTCTTCCAGTCCCATGAACCTTTGACAGATCAATCTGAAAGCTTTGCGCTAGAATATACATGATATAAATACTTTAAAAAAAGCAAGAACAATTTAGTTACCAAATAATTTATATGTTACACGTGGCACATCAACTTTTCGTAGGTATTTTGTTGTGTCATTAATAACTTGAGCTAGTGACGAGTCAAGATATATAGACTGCAGCTGTAAAAATACTATGCGAAACAACCCTGAACTACTTTGTAGGTGACCCCTTTTGATTAAATGACACAACTACGTTGGTGATAGCTTCAAAGGCAGCATGACCAATAATCAACGGCCATAGGAAACAGTCAGGGAATATGTCACGTGTACAGAAAAAATAAAAATTATGCTCACATGATTAAAGTCGCACATTAAAAGTACTGGTTATATGGTTATCGCTTTGCGTCGCGAACTTGTTTTCATGAATAAACTCGGCCTGTCTCTTCCCGGATTATAAGAAAACAAGAAGGAACTGTTTATAACCATAACAGGCGATTGGCGATTTGTGATGCCATTCGTTTCATGAAGCTTATGGTACAGCAGTGAACACTGTTTCTCGACAAGCGATACTCATTTTTAAAACAGAATCTACAACTACGTGAGAAGCGTAGCGAGTAGTCTCCGGATTCCTTTCCACAGAATGATACTCATCTATCAACCTCGTAAAAGAGAAAGACAAGTGACCTGACCGGTGTTTGACCTGAAAGCTCTTGGTTCAGAATCTGACGCTATATCGACTGAGCATTTCTGGTTTTAAGCCCTGGATCGTAAGATCAGTGGCCATTTACCGTCAGCAGAC